TACCGTGCAATCAGTCGACCTTATCGCCTGAAGAAGACTAGCAGTAAGCAGTCGAAACGTCGCGATCTACATCTCAAGTGACTACATCGTGAGACAAACGATAATACACTTTATTATTAATACAATGAATGTATTTTATACAATGAATCAGTTAATCTTTGCTGATTTTGCTTACTTTCACAAATAGTGTGCTAAACCCTTAAGAAAAATTCATATGTCTTTTTTTTTCAAGTTTGGATTGGGATATGTTAATCAAGGCCTATTAATCTTTTTAGTTATAAACTGAAGCAATAAGTTTCAATTACTCGCAAATTAGCAAATACATTTACAATACAGCAGCATCTCATTTACCATACCATAACTACTAATACGATAAAACTAAATAATTTGAAGCCCCACACGAGCACACTTCGTGATTCTCTGTAATAGCACCCTGTTCTCTAAAATACCTCATATTTTCACCTTCTACTGTCGATCACTGACCTTTCGAGTTGAAAATCTTAGTAGTGTCTTTCATTTTTTTCATGATAATTCAGTTTTATCCAAATTACAAGTATAACTTGTAAGCCACACATGTACGCACTGCGGACCTATTTTTCATAACCTTAATAGCTTTTGTTCGTTTCATGTCAAGGGTGGTGATAGCCGCTGACAAGCAATACTTGCAGATTCGAACTCTTCTCGTTGGAAAGCTTTCTTCTTCCATCTCGATCGTCCCCTTAAGAAGTAGCTTTACTTCAGGTAAGCGTATCAGGTCTTAAGTTTGTAACTAACTGCCTCAGGAAACTCAAAACGTTAAGGCGTGCTTGTTGGACAGTTGTATACGTTGCCCGACGAAGTTCAGCTTTGGATCGACAGCGAACCGTGTACTGTTTGCGTTATGCAAGCTTCTTCCGCCGGGCTTATTTAGTTCGCTCGCACCGAGTGTTATTCGTACGCGGAAGAAGGTCGTTTGATTGCACGTAGAACGATTCCGTACTGATAATGACCGAAAGTCGGTCCGAATTGAGAACTGTACTGTATTCATTTCTCGTTCCTTAAACATAAGGAACGAAGAAGTTAAAAATTATAAACATAATAACTGATGCGTTGTTTATCCAACGACCACCAGTCCGGATTATCCCAATACATTAGGCCACCATACTTCGCATAATACAAAAACGTGAATATCACTAAAACGAAAAAAGATATTCCAAAAAGGAAAACGCCTGCCCATTCTTCTTTACTTTGAAAAGCCTTTCAAATAAGCAGCAATTATTTTTTACTTCATAGGCACTTTAAAGTCAGCAATTACATGTAAGCATTCGTAATTTACATGTGGAAATCGGGTAAAAATTATATATATGATATCTTTTACCACAGCATCAAATAGATACAAGAAATATTTCAAATAAATACCAAAATGGAGAAATTTCAGATTTACAAAGAATATATTAACAGATTCTTGACTATCCATGCATCTGACAACACATCTAAAATTTTGGGAACATTTTCTAGCTTAATATATTTTGTATAACAGAACAAGAATTTCTCACTCGTAAGCTTTATTGAAAATTCTGTTTAATGATTTCATTTCCTAGATTTAGCCAAAACGTGTAACATTTTGGACATTTGAAATTTATCTTAATTGCTATGTAATGCTGGCATGGAAGAACGCGCGCGTCCTGTCGATTTCGACCCGAAAGTCTCACTTCACGTATCGATCGTTTCTGTGCTTAAAAAAATGCAGAGTAAAGATGCTTACAGATTCTATGGTCTCTTCCCAAAGGATGGTAACAGCAGCTCGTCAAACTTGGCCCGCAGTTCTCATCGTTGTGCTTCCTGCGGTCCGAGGATAACCGTTATCTGAGCAGACTTGTCTGTGACATAGAACGCGAACACAAACTTTCCTTTTATTTCATAATTGTGACAGTATTTATCTCAATTCGAGATAAATATATACCTCCTGAAGGCCTGCATTCAAGGCATTGGAAGGCATTCGGGACTCTCTTTGTCCGCCATCTTGAATTTCTTGGTTTGTTGTGAAACACAACACTCCAACCAAAACACGCCTTTACACTGGTTGAAACGCTAGTTTCGTGACATCACAGATGTCCTAATTTATTGGGATCTATTCCGGACTGACCACAGGAGTAAGCATTTGTGTCACCCGGACGAAAGGATATGCCGAGGATTCGGGCGAATCGTCTTCCAGGCAAAACGAAAGCACGCAAGAACTTGGTCCGTTTTTCTTGTCTTTAATATTTCGAATTTCTTAGACATTTCGGGGATTTCAGTTGGCCTCTGTACATATTCCCGTATCAATCAATATATCTCCTGATAAACAATAAGATCAGTTATTAAAAACTGATTCCATACAAATGTACCATTTTGCAGAAAGGTTTATTCACTTTTCAAAGTGTGGACTGCAGAAGGGGCTTGGTGAGGATCGTTACTGTGTTACTGAAGGTCAAACAAGCGCCAGCAGGATGGCCGAATTCAACCAGACTGGAGAACCTGACGGTGAATTGCAGTTGTGTATTATTCTGTCAGACGCATTCATTGGCTGCAAGAATAGGGGACATTATCATTTATATTTTGCTCCATCATTATACGACGTTACACCGCCGGAGAAGGCATGATGCTGGAAACGTCTTTGCTCTGAACAGTTTACGAGTTTGTAAAACTGTTTAGTTCTGTGGATTTCATGTTGAAGGAGATATTCTGATTAGTAGCAGAAGCACTTATGAGCCCATCCAACCTTTGTATCAGTTCACCTTTTAACCCTCGTAGCTCAACAAATTAACGGTACTGTAACAGATCGGGCTCAAATTTCTTGGGACAGATGATTATGTCATTTATTTTCAATATTTAGACTACGAGTAATCCCCTTTTGCTTAATCCGTCGAGCGCGTGCGAAAGGAGGGACTACCAACAAAGCCAGAGAGCACTGTTAATTGCTTTTTTATTTATCATGCAGATCATGTGCAGGCCGATTTCACAGAGGACAATCCCTTTTCCCAGCCCTGGGAAGACAGCGACTTAGCTCTTGTTGTGGAAGGGCAAAGGTTTCATGTTCATCGTCTGATATTGACTTTAAACTCGCCTGTATTCAAAGCTATGCTGACATCTAGTTTTAAAGAAGCAACGAGTGGTGAGATTACACTACCCGAGAAGAACGCAAATGAAGTGTTAGGTTTTGTTAAGCAGTTGTACGTACACAAGAGAGAGGAGATCACAAGTAAGTTCAACAGACTTGCACATCTTAAGATACCTTGCAACTCGCATTCTCCCCAAACCACATTAATTGTGGGGTGCGGCGGACTGCACGTCACAGGACTGCCCAAGAGACACAGATTGTACATATGGGTTATTGATCAAGCGTGAGGTCAAGATGGCTGAATATTGGCCAAGTTCATTTTTTTTTTTTTTTTTTTTTTGCATGTTTTTACAGGCTTTATTTGTAAATAACCTCATTTTGCACAAAAACCAGTGGACAAATTATCTAGTGTCACGTGACAAACGTTAAACGTTACGGTTTTTTTAGTTTATTGAATCTGACACTATTGGCCTTTGATTACCCGAAGTCGTGTTCAGAAATTTGTCTTTAATACCTTCCAAAGTAGAAATGTTGGCGTGAAGTCAGTTGGCACAAAAGTAGACTTTTTGAGAAAAAGTAAGTTTCTTAGACGGTGGATTAAGCATTTAACAAGCCAAAAACTGCGTCGGAGATCTCAAGGGGGGTGTAATGGAGTTTATTTTGTACAAAGTTACCGCGGTTAGTTGTAGGAAATATCCCTCTTCATAAGGGGAATGAATGAGACTGTGATGGTAATTCAGGCAAAGCTTTCACAAGTAATTATACCAATCGAGTTGTGCATGTCTTAACAGCTTTACTATAAAGTATCGTTCATATATGTTAAAACTGATCTATATTTTTGGTCATGTTCTTACTGTGAACAGTCGTTGGTATGCCCGTTGCTGCGTAAGAAAACTTATACCACTGTGTACTTTCCTTAAATTTCACACTCACCTAGAGGCAAATTTGGGCAGATCGTTTCAAAATTGTTTTGCGAAGTGTTCAAGGGTCTTAAATCTTGTATTTTCAAAAAATGGAATTTTTTTTGATGAAGCCATATTTTTTTGGTACCTACCACCTTAACGGCAATTAATATTTTGAGTCTGGCATTCTTTTGATGGGGATAAAGTCCGCTGTGAATTATTTTTCAGTGAATAATGTGGAGCACTTGCTGAAACTCGCTGATGAGTACCAAGTAAAAGGAGTCCTTGACCTGTGTGCCAGTTGTCTCAAGAATGAACCTAAAACAGAGTCCAATGCTATGAAGATTCTTCTTCTCGCTCAGCAATACGGTCTCTCAAGTATAAGCGAAGATTGCTGTAATTTACTGGCGGGAATAAAGTTGGACAGACTTGAAAAGTATGAACAACTTCCATTGCTTAACAACGAGAACCTCCGAGGCATTCTCCTTCCAAGAATGAGACATTTGGAAGAATTTATCAGGGACCTCAGTCCTCAAGTTGCAGGAATTGTGGCTTGCACCACATGGCTGTGGAACGAAGCCAAGAAGCCTATGGCTTGGTGCCCGACCCACTTTTCGAATGGGCAAACAAAAGTAAGCCTAAGAAATTGCTTGCGAACGTGCTCTGCCTGCAAACACGTTATTCATTGCTTGGCTTTTGACACCGTTGAAAGATCTAGAGATTATTATCGGAGTTCTGAGAGCTGCACTCTTTCCCGCTCTTACACTACTCGCGACGGCGATCACTTTGACAGTAACCTTTCGAATGTTTTGGAAAAGTTGTTTGATTTAGCTGATTAGACCCGCTAGCTGGAAGAGCTTCCTCAAGTATTGCATGAATTTACCCTGGTCCTTGGTACGTCCCAAAGGTTTTGTTACTGACGTGCCATGAGAAAACCTGTGGAACCAGAGTAACATGAATTGAAAATCGGCGAAAAGAAATTTGAATTCAAAATATCTTATTGTTTTGTTCATTATATATTCACGAGTTTATTGAAAGATGACTAAACTGACTGGATTCTGTTCCCATTGGTTAATAAGAACAATCGTTTACGAAGTAGACGTTAAAAACGGAATTGCTGATGGGCCAATGCTGGGTTAAATAAAAAATTCTTAATGTTTTTTACATTATATATTTACGAGCTCATTGAAAGATAACTTAACTGATTGAACTCTGTTCCTAGAGCTTAATAAGAACAATCGTGTACCAAAGTAGACTTTAAGAACGGCATAGCTGTTGGGTTTTGTATTTAGAAATTCTTCCGATTAAAACAAAATTAAATAATAACGTCAAATCAAGAAGAATCGGCATCGGGCCATATTGCCCATGCTGCTGGAGCTTATCCCGATTTCTGTAGCATCAAGCAAGTAGAAGTATTCCTACTCGCTCCGTGTTGACATTCTAGTACACCGCAGGGCTTTGTACGCCCGGTTCTCATTTATACACTTGGGTCAGTAGAGAGAAGCATTGTTCGACTTACGTAAGCTTCAAAAGGGTCGAAAACTTAAAAACTTAATTACTAAAGAAATGGAAAATCATGATGACCTGTTACCAGTCAAACAGAGGACGGTTAGCCAATGAAAAACATATTGTAAATTACCATTTTATTTTACTGTATATTACACTATATCCAGTATCTAAGAGAAATAAGCCGACCCCCAAGCATTTTCGGGGTGGAGAGAAATAAGAAGTTCAAATGATCCGCCCCCGGGTTCATCATCATAAAAAACGCTGCTCAACGTTTGAAAATAACGCTGCTCAAAATTTGATAAACCATAACTGATAATGAAAAAGATGTTATTCACCAGCGTTATTTTGTACGTTGTTTTGTTCACCGGCATGTATGTCCGTTTATCCTAACTTCCATCATTGGCCACAACATTTTGTGATAATGGTGAGAATTTCTAAAAGATTTTCATGAATCTGATCATCTCAGGTAGCTTAAGAATCACTTTGTTATATGGAATTAACTTCGGTTGATTTGATCATGATTTGTGTCAACACGTGATGAAAACATCAATATTTGCGTTCTCCGCTAAATGTGAGACCAAAACCACGAAAGTGCCATATGGTCCGGGGTAGTCTCGCAGGTAGGAAAATTCTTAGTCCCAGGGCAATAATAAAATTTCAAATGCTTCACC